ATTCTTTTCTATCTTCCTTAATTCCATCCAATCAATACCATAATCCGAGGTTTTAGTTCCAGATCATTGTATCTGTGCTTTTATTTACGACTTGTATTTTCTTTTTCCAGAATCATAAAAACATTAGTAGAAGTTTCATTATAGCCATATTCATGAGTCTACTAATTTTTACCTGTTTCCTCATGTCAGTCCTATTTTTTAATTCTGTAACAACTCTATTTGTAAATTCTTTATTTAGTTTCAGGATGATAACCTGAACTTAACCAAAGAAAGAACAAAACTAATCTTTTTTTTTTAACTGTCTTATTTTAATCATGTAATTGATGGTAACTGGTATTAATCTCTTTCACTTTACCTAGAATATCTAGAACAAAGAGATGTTTTACTAACGGGTAAATAGGTCTCTGTTGAATCCTTCAAATTCAACCAAGAGAGAAGTTTAATTTGTTAGAACAATGACCCAAGAAGCAGTAAAGAGAAAGCTATAGTGGTAAACAACCATATCCCTTTTCAAAAATTTCTAGGGGTACCTGGGTGGCTCAGTCAGGTAAGTGTCCGACTTCAGTTCAGGTCATGATCTCACGGTTTGTGGGTTTGAGCCCCGCGTCAGGCTTTGTGCTGACAGCCAGCTCAGAGCCTAGAGCTCGTTTCAGATTCTGTGTCTCCCTCTCTCTCTGACCCTCCCCTGTTCACGCTGTCTCTCTCTCTCTCAGAAATAAATAAAACATGTTTTTAAAAATCTAACTTCTAGGTATTGGGGCAGGCTGCATTTGGTTTGGGTCATATCTTCATTTTTTCAGTGGAAGTAAGGCTTTCATGGAGAGCCATACATGTCATTTTTAACGTTGGTAGCATAGTCATGTCAGTATTCCTGTTCTGTGTGCTCTACTGCACACCTGGTACACTTGCAAGAAGCACCAACAAGAATGAATGGCCACACACCTTAATGCCCCACCATCTGGTATTTCTTCCAGTCCCCACTGTTACAAGCTGATGGGGATGGGGGACAGTACTAGATAACATTTGGAAGGTCTCCTCCTTTCCCTGTCACTCTCCCCTATTTAATCACATTCATGAAACCAAGTATTGTTTGGCCCATCACCCCAGATGGAGTCATCCCTGAGAACTTGATACAGAGCCTCACCCTAGTTTCCAACATTCATAAGGAATTTTGTTCTCATATTATTTTTGTCACTTCACTGGGAATCTAATTTTAATTACATTAATGGGTTTTGGAGGTCTAGTGAATGAATTCAATCACTAGCCTATGGAAATCTCACCAGTGAACAGATTAAAAATAATAATGATGAAGTAGGAGCATCATATAAGAAATGTGTCGTCATCTTGTTTTGAGGTAAAGAAAAATTATTGGAAGCCAAATGTTAAGAAAGCAAACTTTTAGAAGCAGACAAATGAAACTTCTGGCTCTAGGAATGAATTTCCTCCTGAAATAAGGTAGAGAGAAAATTATAGTCAGTTGATAAGAAGATTTAAAATTTCTACTTGAGCAGCTCGGGTTTTAGGAGATCAGAAATTCATGGAAGAACAGAATAAATTTAAGGGCCAGGTTTTGGTCTTACTGTGAAAACAGAAATCCAGGTAGTATGACTTCAGAGCCCACACTCTGACAGAAAGGAAAATGAACTCAAATCCCGCAAAGAATATTAACCTCTTGCAAATTCAAAGTGTGGTCCAGGGACCAGCACTTTGGGCATCACTTCTGAGCTTGACAGAAACACAGATTCTCAGGCCCCACCCCAGGACTACTGAATCAATACCTACAATTTAACAAGATTCTCAGGTAGATTAAAGTATGAGCAGCATTATGTTTGTCATACTTATGGAAGAGGAGAATAAACAAGAATTTAAGCTGATGTGAATCTTCATGAAAAATGGACAGTAATGAGCCACTTGGGAAAATAGTGTTTGCATTAGTAGAAAATGTAAAAATATTCCAAAAGGTGACACTGGGATTATCACTGGACTATGAGATGTGTCAAAGCCTGGGGAATTCACAAAGCTTAGCAAACGCAAGGGTTTTGGGGAGTGCACATGCTGGACTACATGTTGGCCCTTCCTGGTTCCTACGGGCACAGGCCTGGAAGCACCAAACAGCAACAGCTCAGTTCAGAAACTGGAGGACAGAAGGTGAAATCTCTCCTAGGAGGCAGGTGTTAGAGGCTCAAGAAAATTCAGAGTATGAAGGAAGACGTAGGAAGAAGAAGCCACAGCAACAAAAGTGGCAGAAGTGGCACAGAGATTTTAAAAACAAAAGAGAACAAAAGGAGGGAGAGGCTTTAGAATTTAAGCAGGAGATAGAAAAGAAGATAAAAACGAAGAACTCTTGGAAACTCTGATAAAAAGAAAAAAAATCCCTTCAGAGATTTTATGATTTCACCCATTTAAAGCATAATTCAAATACTGTCTCTCGGGGCACCTGGGTGGCTTAGTTGGTTAAGCGTCCAACTTTCACTTAGGTCATGACCTCGCCGTTCGTGGGTTCGAGCCCCACTTCGGGCTCTGTGCTGACTGCCAGCTCGGAGCCTGGAGGCTGTTTCAGTCTGTGACTCCCTCTCTCTCTGACCCTCCCCTGCTCACGCTATCTCTCTCTCTCTCCTAGATATAAATAAAATGTTTAAAAAATTTTTAAAAAACCCAAAAACCAAAAAACATATACTGTCTCTCATTTACTCTAAACACTTCAGCAGTTCCTGTTACCAGTGCTCATTTAATATCTCCATGAGGCATTTTCTAACTACCTGATTGACAACAGAAATCTTCTTCCCCAATACCACCATACCAGCACCCCCTATCTCTCTGGGCTGCTTCATTTTTCCTTGAGTTATTTGTTGCTTTCTAAAATACTCTGAAATAGGGGCACCTGAGTGGCTCATTCGGCTAAACATCCAACGTTGACTCAGGTCATGATCTTATGGTTTGTGAGTTTGAGCCTCACATCAGGCTCTGTGCTGACAGCTTGGAGCCTGCTTCAGATTCTGTCTCCCTCTCTCTTTGCCCCTCCCCTGCTCATGTTCTCTCCCTCTCTTCCTCCCGCCCTCTCTCCCTCTCAAAAGAAACATTTAAAAAAATTTTTTTAATAAAATACTCTGAAATTTACAAAGATTTGATTTATTGTCTTTCTGTCTCTATACCAGAATTATATTCCACTATAGGAGGGGTTTTCCTGGTTTTGCTTACTACTGTTTTTCCCAGAGCTTAGTGCCTAGTATATACTGAAGACTCAACATATATTTGCCTAGTAAAAATTCAAAATTGGATTGCCAAAAACACAAGTATCAAAGGAAAAAATGGACTAGAAAATTACAAAGTTTTAAATACTGAATATAAACTTTAATTAGAGTGTAAGCTCCATGATGGGGCACCTGGCTGGCTCAGCTAGAAAAGCCTAGGGCTCTTTTTTCCTTTTCTTAAGTTTACTTATTTTAGTAATCTCTACACCCAACATGGGGCTCAAACTCATGACCCCAATATCAAAAGAATGTAAGCTCCATGGAAATAGGTATTTTTACTTCTTTTGCTGATTGTAAGAATGGATGAAGTAGAATATTTAATATAATACACCTAGTTTCATTGGTTCTAAGATGCATTTTTTTTCTTATTTCTACAACTCTAAAATCAGAATATGTTTTATAGTCAGTGCTATCTTAGAATCCCAGTCAGCCTGGTAGTGGTCACAATGTAATTGTCATTCTGCATCCATGGACATTCACAGAGAATGAAAACTTATGAAAAGGTATATTGGTGACTAAGAATAAAATCTGAGACTAGCAGAGCACTCCTTTAACTCTTGTGAAGCAAATCGTATGGGGAGGGTGTAGAGCAATTAATATAATTTAACAACACTCTGAAGCAAGAGTCAAAGCTGGTTGGTTAAACAGAACCATAATACCAACTTAAGCTTTTAAAAGCCCAGCGCCAATGTCATTTAGTTCTTTTGTCAATTGTTTTAAGAAATGCTACTTCATCAATACTTTTGATGCCACTGAAGACAAAATGGTATAGAAAAACAGACAGTGAAGACTAGTGGAAAAACAAATCTAGAGTCAGATTCTGAATGTGAACAAGTTTTAAATATATGTTAGCCAATTAAGTCTGCTTCTAATTTTCCTATTTTTATGTATGCATCAGAATGAGCAATCATAAAAATCTATTTTAATTTCATCTAAAAGATCTCTTTCAATAAATATAAAATAAAAATTCTAGGTGAGAGAAAGTATTGCATGGCTTTTCTGTTACTGTGTTGAACTCCTTCCTAAAGATGGACAGCCTTTCTTATTAACACATAATAGAAATAAATGTGAGAACACTTTACCCCTAGAGGGAGCTCAAAGTACATCTTCCTTTATTCCACCCAAAGAATAATGAGATCATGCCAAGGACACATTAGTGTCCTAGATCAAATGTTCTTGTGTCTACAGTTAAAGTCTTGGATCTTTGGCATTCCCTTCTGGATTTACTCTCTCCTCTCATTTAGCTTGTGCCAAAAACAAACAAACAAACAAACAAACAAATTGCCTATCTTGGGAAGGCTATTGAGAATATAAATGAGAAAATCAGGGTATAGCCAAGGGGAAAAAGTGACATGAGACAGACAGCCTGCTTTTAGGCTAAGCAAGAAGTTTGTTGTTGTTGTTGTTTCTAAACTAGGGCTGAGTTCTAGATGGGATTTGAACCAAAGCCTATAATCAATAAAAAGTGTGAGTGTATGTGTAGGATGTGCTTAGGAATCCACAAGGGTGGCAGCAGCAGGCTCTGGCCTAGCAAATATGGACTTGGAATCTTAATTTGAACTTTTAGAAATAGGGCTAAAACTTAACTTTAAGAACCTTCTTTTTCTGCTGGTATAATAGGATCCTAAGTTTTGCCATCTTAGTAAATATAAAAACTTACAAGCAATAAACAACCAATATACCACTTTTAGGGGGAGAATCAGGCATGTGTTAAATGTAGACAGACTGTGAAGGAGTAAACTGTTTTACCTGGAATGATCCAAGAATATCCTTTAGAGGCTCTTCATAAAACTCATCTCTTCCAAAGAACAGCAGCAACTCAAAGAAGCTCCTAGAAAGAATAAGTGAATGATAATGTTCATTGCTTCTTTAATTATTTTTTGCCCCAATTTAAAAAGATTCTTCAGAGGTAAAAGCTATGTGATGTCAGATACTTAGTTCTTAAATTGCCAGGTTTGAAAATTATATTGATATTTAAAATTCATGGTGGGTTTTCAATGAAATTTTAATAGAATGTCTTCAAAGAAAATGTAAAATAATATACTTATGTTCTAGAATTATAGAATGAGCAATGACAGTACTCATGCCCACCAGAGTTCACAATGCAAAAAAAAAAAAAAGTGATGGTATACAACTATCAGGTGGCAAAAATGTTGCTACACATATCAAGATGATTTAAACTGAGGACATAGTCCAGCTTCATCCTAGTACAATAGGCCCCAGAGAAAATTCAAAATCTAATTTTTTTCAGACAGATATAAGGGATGAATAACACTGACACAAAAATATAAGAAAATTAGAAAGTCACTATGATACTCTCAGCCAACATTTATATGCTAGCAATATCACCAGTTAGGTATCTAATAAATGACACATGGGTTCTCAAACTCTGGGCTTACCTTGATTAGCCCACTCCTGACAGTCTGTCCAAAATCTGTGGTTCCTCTTTTTTAAATAATTGTTTTTGGAAAATATTGTGTCTTTAATAATTAATAATTACATATAGGAGGAAATATGACTTATTTCCTGGTCATGAGCATGAAAAACTATAAAAATTATTTAGTTTTACTTAGCAATCCTAAAGAAGTTTAAATGAGAAACACGTCAAAATCTTTAGCTTTTAATTCACCTAGGAGGATCCTCAACTAAGAATAACTATAGTATTTTTTAAACACTTTTGCCTTTAATTCAAATTAATCATTAATAATGAACGAAGTTTTTAGAATGCAAACTTTGAGAAAATACACTTTTAAAAAATTACACAGGGGCGCCTGGGTGGCTCAGTTGGTTAAGCATCCGATTTCGGCTCAGGTCATGATCTTGCAGTTCGTGGGTTCGAGCCCCGGAGTCGGGCTCTGTGCTGACAGCTAGCTCAGAGCCTGGAGCTCGTTTCAGATTCTGTGTCTCCCTCTCTCTGACCCTCCCCTGCTCACGCTGTCTCTCTCTCTCTCTCTCAAAAATAAATAGAACATTTAAAAAAATTATATAAAAGACCCAAGTATTACATAATATTACAAAGACTCTTCTAAATAACACAATAATCATGCCCCATAAACTTACATTTTATACCAATTTGATTACTTAAATTTTTAAATGTCAACAGACCAAAAACATGAAAACAATCAAATCAAAATGATACACACTGAGAAAGAATCTTTGTTGATTTCCCTTAATTAAAAAGCCTAAAGAAGTAATTTTTAAAAAGTTAACAACCTGGTAAGAGAGGCTATCTCACAACAAAGAAATGCAAATGGATTTTGTTTTCAAATATGAAAAGATGCTCTACTTATTAAGTAAAAATTTATAAAGGTGAAATACCTTTTCTATCATATTTACAAAAATGAAAATGTTGATTAGCACTGATGTAGAGAAATAGGTTCTGATATCTTGGAGGGATGGTAGGAGGTATTACCTCTTTTAAGGGCAAGACAATAATAGGCATCAGAAAATTTACCATGTATACATAATCATTTGACTTAGCCAATTCCACTTATAGGAACTAAATCATGCAAATATACACATGTTATTAACTCAAAGACATATATAAGGATATGCATCCACAGATTATTTATAATACGAAAAGAAGAAAAACGTGTTAAATGTCTACTATAGGCGACTGGGTAAATAAATCACAATATACCCATACAATAAAATATAATGCAAGTATTACTGAGAATTTTAGTAAGAATACACTTATATCTTTATGAATAGACATGGGAAAATTTCCAAGATATATTGTTATGAAAAGATGCAGAAATATATTATCATTTGTGTGGAGGGCACGTGAATACCAATGCATATTGTTAAAACTATCAACCAGTTTGTTCATATACAACAAACTGGTAAAAGCAAATGATTCTATGTAAGTAAAACAGAATTTGGGGGTCAGGAATAAAATAGTTATATTATTAATCCTTTTGTAATTATTTATTTTACTACCAATGGGGGGAAAAAAGCCCCATTAGTATACCTCTGAAATTTTCTCTATCCCTATTAACAAAGCATCAATTCATATCTATCTCATATTTAAACTTCTTTTTTTTTTTAATTTTTTTTTTAATGTTCTATTTATTTCTAGGAGAGAGAGAGAGAGAGACAGGGTGAGCAGGGGAGGGTCAGAGAGAGAGGGAGTCACAGACTGAAACAGGCTCCAGGCTCTGAGCTGGCAGTCAGCACAGAGCCCGATGCGGGGCTCGAACCCACGAACCTCGAGATCATAACCTAAGTGAAAGTCGGACGCTTAACCAACTAAGCCACCCAGGCGCCCCTCATATTTAAACTTCTAATAGGCCATTCCTATTACTCCACACTTGCTATTACTCCACACTTACTTAAAATCCATGTTCAACATAGCTGCCATTATCATCCTAAAACACAGAATGATTTGACTACTTGAACAGACTTTACAAATTGCTATTTGGACTGAACCATTTAAGCAAAGACCTTCAGCAGACACACTTGTTTTATATGTATATTTAAAAAAATTTAGTCAGTTGCTTACATTTAAAAACTGTGCTACTTCAGATGAAATCTAAATTTCTGTGAGCTCCTAAAAATCCAGAAGCCCCTATAACACACAGTTTGCATCTCTCTAGGAGACGAGCAGCTACTGCCTTTAGACAAAGCATCAGCCTCCTTTCCAATTTGCCAGTCTCCATTCACCTCTCTTATTTCTCCAACATACTAGCTGCTTGACTTACTTATTACTACCATTCCCTTCCTAGTCTATATAAGTATTTGAGATCATTAATCTAGGGCAGGAAATACAAATTCCTTATCACAATGTAAGAACTTGTGTTTCTTATTCAAAACCTCACTTACATACATAGCTTTTAACACAAATTTCATGCTCTCCAATCACAACAAACTTCTCCCCATTCCCTTAAGTCCTGTGCTCTTAAGGTCTTTATAATTGTTGCTTCCTCAAGACCTATTTATACAACTTCACCTAGGAATTTGGTTTAAAACACCCTTCCTTCTCTCCAAATATATAGCTGATTTTGTACTATCAGAGTATTGTACTTTATGTATATCTCTATTATAACATGTTGAAAGATGGAGGCGTTAGATTTACACTAGGTAGAAGGGAGAGGGACTGTATCATTATGTTGAGTAGATAGTACTGGCTGTTAGGGCAACTAATTGTATTGAAAGAGGAAGAGATAACAAAGGTTTTTAGTAGAAATAAAATGTACTACGGAGTATATTTAGATAGATAGGAATATACAGATGCACATGACCTTGTACAGAAATCAACAAAATATGCAGAATTATACAATGTCTGAATTATATGAATAGGAAAGGTAGTCACCATTACAAAAGAGAGATCTATGCATGCCTCACATACATACAATCTTATTGTACTTCCTGCTGATCAGTGTAAAGGATCAACTAAACTTGATAGGGATCAAGTTGTCTAGCCTTCATGGAAGAAAACTCTTATGGTAGAGGCTAAGTGAGTCAAAAACAGAACAAAGTAGGACCCCAAAAACATATGTAGCAGTCTACAGCAGGACTGGCAAACTACTGTCTACAGGCTAAATCTGACTCAATGATGGCCTGTTTAATAATGCATGATAAGAATAGTTAGCCATATTGCCATATTTAAATTGCTTAAAAAAAAAAAAAGCTGAAATAACATTTTTGTGACAGGTAAAAATTACATGAAATTCAAATATCCTGTCAATATAAGGTATTATTAGAAAACGGTCATACTCCTCTATTTACATATCGGCTTCGGCTGCTTTCACACTTCAATGACAGATTCGAGTAGTGGCATCAGAGACCTTATGAGCTAAGCCTGAAATATTTACTATCTGGACCTTTACTCACCCATGGCCTAGAGCCAGTGTTTGGGTTTCAATCTCAGCTACACTATTTTCTTTTCTTTTTTTTTTTTTAATTTATTTTGAGAAAGAGACAGCACAAGTAGGGGAGGGGCAGTAAGAGAGGGAGGGAGAGGGAGAGGGGGAGAGAGAGGGAGAGGGGGAGAGAGAGGGAGAGGGGGAGAGAGAGGGAGAGGGGGAGAGAGAGGGAGAGGGGGAGAGAGAGGGAGAATCCGAGGCAGGCTCCACACTGTCAGTGCAGAACCCAACACTGGGACTCGAACTCACAAAACCATGAGATCATGACCTGAGCTGAAACAAAGAATCAAACGCTTAACCAACTGAGCCACCCAGGCACCCCTAAATTATTTTCTTAATATGCAACCCTGGGCAAGTCACTTAATATCTCCATGCCTCAACTTACTTAAAATAGAAACAGTAATAATAACTACCTCTTGTAAAGCACTTAGAATAATCCCTGGTAATGCTGTAGATGCTTGCTAATAATACAGTACTATTAATTTTTATTATTAACATTATCATCAAAGTTCCTTCAGTAATCGAAAAGGAAACACAAGATCTTCATAGATTTGTTTTTCTCTGCTGTATACTATGTCAATTGTGTTGAAATATAAAACATCAATTTTTTCTTCACTTAAATTACGAATATTTTTAAAATATCTGACTAAGTTCATCAAAACGTTTCTTTCTTGGGGTACCTGATTGGCTCAGTTTGTTAAGCATCCAACTCTTGGTTTCAGCTCAGATGGTAATCTCACAGTTCGTGAGTTTAAGCCTCGCATCAGGCTCCGCGCTGTCAATGCAGAGGCTGCTTGGGCTTCCCCACACTCCCCTCAAAATAAATAAGCAAACTTTAAAAAAAAGAGGTTTCTTTCTGAAAATTTATTTTTGAATAATGTTTATACTAATTTTGAATATGTTTAATATGTTATATGTGTGTAATGTATATTTAACAGCCTATATACTAATCAATCTATAATTAACC